AGGTGAGTTATGAGATTGAAGAGTGTTGGTCTACAAAAGGCAACTCGTTCTTGCCTAACTTCTTGAAGCTCATTGATTATGCCTCTAAGTGTTAGGAAATAAACCGAGTACAAGTAATTTCTCTATAACCAGATTAGTGAGAATGCGAAATAAAAGCGGAAAAATAATACCCGAAATTGATAACGGAGTTCAGCCAATTTTGCTTACGTCTCCGGACTGCTGCAGATCCTTTACTAAGAGAGAAATTTTACAGGTGTTTACAAAACACTCACTACTCACAAGAAAGCTCTCTAGTATTGGGAGAAAGAAATGATTTTTGGGATGATTTTGAAGCTAAATGAGCTAGGGTATTTATAGTTGAAACTTAGGGACTAATTTTGTAAATACCCTAAAGTGCAAAGGACTAAAAAAATGCACTTTCCCATTTTTTTTCAAGGCAGCCGGCTGCTAATGAATTAGCAGCCCATGTGCCTTTATAATTTTCAACAATCTCCCACTTGAAGAATGATTTTAATCTGTCTTCACACCTCGATCGATGCAACAGCATTTCTGGTCTTGTTATTCTAGCATGCCAACTGAAGCTGAACACAACTTCAGTTTGTCCATGGTCACCGTCTTTGTCAACATATCTGCCGGATTTTGAGCTCCACTGATCTTTTCAAGTTTCAAAATCCCATCTTCCATAAGGGACCGGATAAAATGATATCTCAATTGTATGTGCTTCATCATGGAATGAAAAGACGGATTCTTTGCTAGATGAATAGCACTTTGACTGTCGCAGTACAAAACATTGTTTTCTTATTTCTTGCCTAACTCTTCCAAGAAACTTTGGAGCCACACCATCTCCTTGCTGGCTTCCGTAACAGCGACATATTCTGCTTCAGTTGTGGAGAGAGCAACTATCTTCTGTAGTTGAGAAACCCAACTCACTGCAGTTCCTCCTAGAGTATAGACATACCCTGTAGTGCTCCTTCTGATGTCAACATTTCCGGCTAAGTCAGCATCTACATAGCCTGTCAGTATTATATCTCCACCTTTGAAACAAAGTGCTTTGTCTGTGGTACCCCGCAGATATCTGAGGATCCATTTGACTGCTTCCCAGTGTACCTTGCCCGGATTATTCATGTACCTGCTAACAACTCCCACTGCATGAGCAATATCTGGTCTGGTACAAACCATGGCATACATCAGACTTCATGTGTGCACGTTCTTCCTCCGTCTTTGGTGATTGGTCTTTGGAGAGTCTGAAATGAACACCTAAAGGTGTACTTACTGGTTTAGCATCTTGCATGTTGAACCTGGAGAGTACTTTGTTGATGTTCTCAGCCTGTGATAACATCAAAGTCCCCGACTTTGTGTCTCTCTTGATCCTCATCCCAAGAATCTGCTTTGCAGCACCCAGATCCTTCATAGCAAACTGCTTCGACAATTTTTGCTTCAAGTTTATAATCTCTTGCATGTCTGAACCTGCAACGAGCATGTCATCAACGTACAACAATAAAATAATGAAGCTGTTGTCGAACCTCTTGATGTAGCAACAATGATATGCTTGACATCTGGTAAAACCAATGCTACCCATGAAGCTATCGAACTCCTTGTACCACTGTCTAGGAGCTTGTTTTAAACCATACAAGCTCTTCTTCAACCTGCATAACAGGTTTTTCTTGCTTGCCTCTATGAAACCTTCTGGCTGCCTCATATAGATTTCTTCCTCCAAATCACCATGAAGGAAAGCTGTCTTTACATCTAACTGCTCAAGATGTAAATTCTCTGCAGCTACAATTTTCAACACCAGTCTGATTGTAGACAGTTTTACGACTGGAGAGAAAATTTCATTGTAGTCAATACCTTCTTTTTGCTGAAAACCTTTGACTACCAATCTTGCTTTGTAGCGTTTGCTCCCATCGTGCTCTTCTTTGATCCTGTAAATCCACTTGTTATGGAGCTCTCTCTTGCCTGGTGGTAATTCAGCTAATTCCCACGTCTGATTTGACATAAACGAGTCCATATCATCTTTCATGGAAGACTCCCACTTGATTGAATCATCCACCTGCATCGCTTCATCATAGCACTCTGGTTCACCATTGTCAGTCAGCAACAAGTAGTGCAAAGAAGGTGAATACCGTTGGGTTGGTTTAGGAATTCTGGAGGAGCGTCTCAGTTCTGGTGTGCCTGGTTCTTCCTCTTGAACTGCTTCAGGACTGATCTGAACATCATTTCCAGAAATCTCCTCGAACTCAGCAAATTCCTTTATTTCAGCTTTGGTATTACTTGATTCTGCGGTTGACCTGTCTTTGTACATCACATTTTCATTGAAAATGACGTCTCTGCTTCTGATGATCTTTCGAATTTCGTAGTCCCAAAACCGGTAACCGAACTCATCACCACCGTAACCAACAAAGACGCATTTGTTGGACTTGGCATCAAGTTTACTTCTTTCAGCAGAGTTTATATGTACATAAGAAATACAACCAAACACTCTTAAGTGTGAAAGGTTTATTTCTTTCTTGCTCCAAACTTCCTCTGGTATTCTACCATCCAAAGGAACTGAGGGCCCACGGTTGATCAAGTAAGTTGCAGTGTTGATTGCTTCAGCCCATAGAAATTTGGGTAAGCCGGCATGTATCCTCATACTTCTGGCACGTTCATTCAGATTTCTGTTCATGCGCTCTGCTACACCATTATGTTGCGGTGTCTTGGGAACTGTTGTCTCCATCTTGATCCCATTGTTTGCTCAGAAATCTCTGAATCTACTGTCTCTGTACTCTCCTCCATTGTCAGACCTCAACTGCTTGACTTTCAAACCAGTCTCATTTTCCACCATGGCCTTCCATTTTCTGAAGGTATCAAAGACTTCTGATTTCTTCTTCAGAAAATAAACCCACACCTTCCTTGTTGAATCATCGATGAAGCTGACATAATATAGTGAGCCTACAAGAGATGGAACTGGGGATGGTCCCCATACATCAGTATGAATCAATTCTAACATTTCTGCCTTGGGTGTCTTGCCAATCTTTGCAAAACTGACTTTCTTTTGTTTGCCAAAGATGCAATCCTCGCATAGTCCGACATCTACATTCTTTAGATCCGGCAGCTTCCCTTTTGACAAAAGTGTCTTCATCCCTTTCTCGCTCATATGGCCAAGCCTTTGGTGCCATAGGTTTGATTTTCCATCAGCATCTGCTACTGCAATGATATTCTCTAAATTTGAGGTTACATAGAGAGTACCAGTCTTCTTACCACGAGCAATGACGAGTGCTCCTTTGGTAATCTTCCATTCACAGCCTGAAAAGGTTGTACTATATCCTTCTCCATCAAGCTGTCCAATAGAAATCAGATTTCTTTTGAGGCCAGGAATATGTCTCACTCCTGTCAGCTTCCAGGTAGTCTGGCTTGGCAGCTTTAGTCTGATATCTCATTTTTCGACGATCTTCAAGGTTTCATCATCAGCAAGATGAACCTTCCTAAAATCACCACTGACATAGTTCTCCATGATTTCTTGGCATGGGGTGGAGTGGAAAGATGCCCCTGAATCTAAGATGAACATGTCTCCTCTGTCACGTTGGTAGATTCCTGTGCACCAGTATTTTTCTTCGGTGCTCGACAATCTCTTTTGAAGTGACCCTTATTGCCGCAATTATAACAGGTAAAATCTTTATTTACTGTTCTTGATTTTCCCCGTCTGGATTTGGATCTGCCACAATTTGAATTTCTTTCTGAAGTTCTCCCTCTAGACTCCGTGTGCAAGGCTGAGGAGGTTGATGCTTCACCCGATTCTCTCCGTCGAATTTCTTCGCTCAGTACCAGATCCCGAACATCGTCGAATTTTAATTTGATGTTTCCCGACGAACTGCTAACTGCTGTAACAGTAGCATTCCAACTGTCTGGTAGAGATGATAAGAGAATTAAAGCTCGAACTTCATCATCGAATTCAATTTCCACTGAACTCAACTGGGTTGTGATTGTGTTGAGTTCATTTAGGTGTTGTGCCACCGATGCCCCTTCCGTCATCCACAAATTGAATAATCGCCTCATCAAATGAACTTTGTTTGAGGCTGATGGCTTCTCATACATACTGGAAAGAGCCGTCATAAGTCCCGCCGTGGTCTTTTCCTTTGCTATGTTGAAAGCAACATTGCGGGATAACGTCAGTCGGATAACTCCGAGGGCTTGTCTGTCGAGAAGAGCACAGTCTTCATTCTTCATGCCCTCTGGTTGCTTTCTTGAAAGAGGTTGATATAGATTTTTCTGGTACAGAAAATCTTCAATCTGCATCTTTCAAAAGCCAAAGTCCGCACCATCGAACTTTTCAATTTTCACCTTCCCTTCGTCTGCAGCCATCGCTCCCACTCGAATCAGGCTTCTTTGAATCGTTTTTGACAATTTCTGCGAACCGCCGTGTATTTGAACACCTCCGTCGACAAATTCGTATCGCCGACAAAATTTCACTATTCACGAAATTCACTATTCACGTGAATAGTAACCTCACAGAAAAATTGGCAAAATTCACAACCAAAAGCTCATGATACCAGTTGTTAGGAAATAAACCGAGTACAAGTAATTTCCCTGTAACCAGATTAGTGAGAATGTGAAATAAAAGCGGAAAAATAATACCCGAAATTGATAACGGAGTTCAGCCAATTTTGCTTACGTCTCCGGACTGCTGCAGATCTTTTACTAAGAGAAAAATTTTACAGGTGTGTACAAAACACTCACTACTCACAAGAAAGCTCTCTAGTATTGGGAGAAATAAATGATTTTTGGGATGATTTTGAAGCTAAATGAGCTAAGGTATTTATAGTTGAAACTTAGAGACTAATTTTATAAATACCCTAAAGTGCAAAGGACTAAAAAAATACACTTTCTCATTTTTTTTCAAGGTAGCCGGCTCCTAATGAATTAGCAGCCCATGTGCCTTTATAATTTTCAACACTAAGTTACCCACGTGCCACTAGCTCTATAAATACCTGGCCATCATTGAACATCAAGGCACGAATCAACAGAAGCAAGGCATAAAAAAAACAATGAAGGCTGCATTATTTTCAGCACTTGCTTTCCTTCTCTTCAGCTCAACAATAGTCGCTGATCAACCCAATGCAGTGCTCGACGTGTCAGGTCAAGAGCTCCTGACCGGCACCGATTACTACGTTTTACCGGTCATCCGCGGTAGAGGAGGCGGGCTCACTCTCGGCAGCGCCACCAACGCTGACCCCAACACCGGTTGCCCGCTCGTCGTCGTTCAAGAGCAGCTGGAAGTGTCGAGCGGTCTCCCACTATATTTTTCACCTGTGAACGTCGAGCAACAAGGCGGTATTGTACGTGTATCCACCGATTTCAACGTCATATTCAACGCTTCTTCGATTTGTGTCCAAAGCACTCTATGGGAACTTGCCTTCGACGAATCTTTACAGAAGTTCGTGGTGGCTACCGGCGGTGTTCCGGGCAACCCGGGGCCTGAAACTCTGAACAACTGGTTTAAGATCGAGAGATTTGAAGATGATTATAAGCTTGCTTTCTGCCCCGGGGTGTGCGATATCTGCAGACCTGTATGTGGGGACTTGGGTGTTTTTATTGATGATGATGGGGTTAGGCGCTTGGTGCTTGCCGATGAGCCATTGAAGGTTATGTTTAGGAGGGCTTGAAGTAGTCGTGCACATCGAGACCTTATTTCCCTTGGATTTACTACCCCACACCTTTTAGCTTTTCAATTTTATGTAATATTTATGTATATGATGCCAATAAGATCGCAATAATGTAAATCTTGGGAAGTACTATTATATGTAAAAAATATATAATTTGATTACATCTACATCTGCTGATAGATCTTGAAAGTAACCATAAATCTAAAAGTATTTAACATAAGACAAGCTGCCAACGAATCCAAACTTCGAAAGTTGTTAGAAGAGTTTCTTATATCATGCATCGATTTTATCTGAAATTGCCTGCGATCACGTGTTCAAATCATATCCTGACAACTGTCTAACAAATTCATTATTTTTCACGAGCTTGAACTGCAAAAGAATAATACCCAGGAGATCACGACAAGCGGACCAACAACAGTAGCTACTATATTATTTCATGACTAGAGCTTGACAAAGTCTCCATTATTACGTCTTTCATAGGGTTAATCACTGAAACTAAGCAAACCAAAAAGAAAAAAGCTAGTCTTTGTTCCAAAACAAACATCCCCATAAACTTTGAAACAGAAAAGGATAAAGCTTCACCTCTATTCGGATTTACCATGTTCGCTAAACGCACGCTTCGGAAAGCGGTTCAGCATCCCCACGTCCAAAAGAAACGAAATTTCTTGCTTTTAGTTTTAGTTTTAGAGTTCCCATTATTTTTGTTAGTAATCAACTAATCATCTTATGGGAGTTTCTTTGGTTTCAGCAAAATGTGCAGCGTGGGGATTTGAAACCAGAAGATTTGGATTTGCGAGTTGCTATCCACTATGGGATCCCTTCTACTTCATCAGTTCTTGCTTTTGATCCTATACAGCGCCTATTGGCTATTGGGACTTTGTGAGTTTCAAGCTTTAACTGCTAAGCATTATCAATTTGGTTTTTGTTCTTCCTTTTAGGATTAAGAAATCATATTGATCCTTTGAATGTGTTAGATAAGCATGTTTCAAATTTAAGATTATGTTCGATTGATCACTACGGTTATGCTTACTGTTGTGATCATTTGTTATTGTATCCTGGGAGATCGACTTCCAATGTTACTCAAACCACTGAGGAGAGGACGAATCTGTCTTCATACAAGCCTCAACAAAATTCCTCTTGTGTTTATCTAACTTCGCTCATCTGATTTCATGTCAAAATACGAGTAAACAGATCCATTTTTTTACTTTAATTCTTTATTTATTTTGTTTCATTCAATTATATAGTAATATTTATTATTATTATTATTATTATTATTATTATTTATTTTATGTATCGGATTAATCATTTTGTCTAACAATCTTAAGACATATTTTTTTATTCGAAACAAGATTCTTTGAATTTAACGAACGAAGTAACAAATATCAGAGATTATTTGTGAGTTCGAATCAATTTGTATGTTCCAAAAAAAAACAAATTGCATGTCATTAGGAGGAACCACATCAAAGTGAAATTTCTCAAGCAATTTGTCGTTTCGAATGCAAACGAGTCTTCTTGTTGACTCCAAAAACTCACCTTGATTCTAAAGTGAAATTCGCGTATTGGAGATCGAATGTACAATGGCGCAGATTTCCAAACTATGGTAATGTGCTCATGACTTGTTTTATAATGCCATCTTAATTTTGGAGAAAGTTGCATATCTATTGGAGTTTAAGCCATATTAAAAATTCATTAATCTGTTTATTTGTTGGTGTTATAGGAATTTACTTGAGGAAATAAATGTTTGATATTGATGCCCTTCTCGGAGTTTGATCACATAAAGGAAGGAGGTTGCTTCAATTGATATGAGTTTCCACTTTGGGATTTGATCAAATGCAAATTAAACATGAGGAAAAGTGTGATCTATTGTGATCCCGCTCTGATGAGCCTGAAGACCACTCAATCAGGAAGGGATCTGTGCAAATGTTTTCTAGTCAAGGGATTTCCTAGTCAGTCTGCAATTCAAGTTCGATAACCCATTGTTCACTCCATTAATTGCAACAACCATACCAAGGAATCAAGAAAAGTAAGCCCCTTCAAAGGACAATTGGCAAATCAAAACAATGTGGGGTCCTCCATTAGTTTCTGGATTTTAATTCTACCATCCAAAAGAATCTGTTCGGTTTACTGTTTTTTTTTTTTTTGAATCAAGGTTTACTGTTTTTTTTTTGTTGAAAAATGGGTACTTTGTATTGATAAAGATACAAGGTACACCACCCCATGAACCTTATTAAAAAACCTCCCTAAACCTATTTGGAGGAAAAAGAGTGAACCATGAGGTGTAAAGAGCAGGAAGCTAGAAACTAGCTCCTGAGGAAGCAAAACACTGCCAGATATACAAGAGACTACAAAGACACGACTAACCAGATGATGTAAAAACAACACAAACCTCCTACAAAAAGGCGCCAAAAGCACAACTCAACAATAACATCTTAATAATAGAACAACCTCTAACTTCAACCAAGAACATGGAAATCAAGGGAGCTAACAGGCCACAAGAACATCAGTGACTGAACTTTGACCATTTTTTTTTATTTTGAACACTAAACTATAAGAAATTCTAATTATAGCACTATATTTAGTTGTTTTTGTTTAGTTGGGCTAAAAAATAGAGTTTTATTTAGTTGGGCATTTAAGCCCATTTGGAAGGAATGGGATATTTGTTTATTTTTATGAAAATTAAGGGACTTGAGGGATGATTAAACCATTGTGGTGAAAAATCAGTTGTTTTATGCATGGGTTGGGGGCTCACTCCTTAATTCCCCGCAATCCTCTTTGCTTCATATGTCTCATTTCCCTTCTTCCTTTTTTCATCTGAGGCAAAGTTTGCATGCAAAATTTCTTAACTGGCTAAAGAATACAACTTGCAGATACAAATGAAACACAGAACAAGCCTGTTTTGTTTTTGACCTTGTTTTGGCTACAAATGGGCAAAGAGTAATCGATTCCAAGTATCTGGAACTCCCAGCAGGCACCAATGGATGCAATCGACATGTTTCTTTGGATCTGCTCTTTTCTCAGGCGTCAAAAGCTTTCCCCCGTCTCTTTTGCGGAAGACGACTATCGGATAGATCAAAAACGCAACTGATAATTTGAGAAAATAAAAATTGAAGATAAAAGATACACAAAATTTACGTGGAAAACCCCTAAATAATATAGGGTAAAAACCACGACCAGAAGAATTTCACTATGAGAAAATATGAATTACAACTTTTCTCGATCTACCAAGGAGAAAACAATGATAATTCTCTCTTGATAAAAAAGAGAAAACAACTCTCAAGAAACTCTCTAAATTCTCTAGTATTGGAAGAAAGCTAGAATGCTTTGGGATAGTTTTGAAGCTAAATGAGCTAGAATATTTATAGTTGAAGCTTAAGGACTAATCTTATAAATACCTTAAAGTTTAGTGACTAAAGTTGTAATTTTTCCATTTAATTTTCAACCATTTCAGCTACCTAATTTTGAACCAAATTTGCAGGCAACATGGACCAAATTCAGCCGCCCCATTTGCTTGCTTTGACCTTTAACAATCTCCAACTTGAAGATTTGATTGAAACAATCATATCTTCACACCATTCTTTCTACCTTGTACCATCATGTTGCTTACGTCTCTGACAGGTCACAAGAGGATCGACACCAAGTAAACTTATCAGCATTTATCGCCTTTGTCAAGAAATCTGCTATGTTCTCTTTGGTATGGATTTTCCGCATATCTACTGTCACTTCTTCCACCTTTTCACGAATGAAGTGGTATTGTACTCGTATTTGTTTTGTTCTTGAATGAAATGTTGGATTCCTTGTTAAATGCAAGGCGCTTTGACTGTCACAAAACAGAGAGACATACTCTTGATTGTGCCCAAGCTCCTCCAATAACATCTTCAACCAAATTATTTCTTTACTGGCTTGTGTAGCTGCTACATATTCTGCTTCTGCTGTTGACGTAACCATAACTGACTGCAATTTTGAAACCCATCTTACAGCTCCACAACAATTTTGAACACATATCTTGTAGTAATTTGCTTTTATCCAAATCCCCTGGATAGTCAGAATCTACATACCCATTGATTAGTAAATTTGATCCTCCGTAACATAATGCAACATTTGAAGTCCCTTTGATGTATCTCAGGATCTTCATTACTGTATTCCAATGCTCTTTGTCTGGATTCGCCATGTACCGACTAACCACTCCCACTGCTTGTGCAATGTTTGGTCTTGTGCATATCATAGCGAACATTAAACTTCCCACTGCCGATGCATACGGTACTCGAGACATCTCCATCCTCTCTTTTTCACTGCTAGGACTCATACTGGAGGATAATTTGAAGTTAATAGGAAGAGGGATAGAAATTGGCTTACAATCTTGCATGTTGAATCGTGACAAGATCTTCTTCAAGTAATTCTTTTGTGAAAGCCAAATCTTCCTATTACTTCTGTCTCAGTGAATTTGCATCCCTAAATATTGTTTGTTGATCCCAAGTCTTTCATTTCAAATTCCATAGCCAATTGTGCCTTCAATTCTTAATATGATCTTTGTTGGGTCCTGCAACCAACATGTCATCCACATACAACAGCAATATAACAAAATCGTTATCACCAGACCTCTGGAAATAAGCACAAGAGTCTGCATTAAGTCTGTTGTATCCAAGGCACATAATGAAGGAATCAAATCTCTTATACCAACACCTCGGCGCCTGCTTTAGACCGTACAAAGACTTGTTTAACCTGCAAACCAAGTTCTTCTTTTCTTTTTCTTCAAAACCTTCAGGCTGGAGAATATAAATCTCTTCTTCAAGATTTCCATGAAGAAAAGATTTTTTAACATCTAGCTGCTCTAGATGTAAGTTCAATGTAGCACAGATTGCCAAAACTACTCGAACTGTTATTAGTCGAACCACAGGAGAAAAGATTTCATTGAAATCAATACATTCTTTTTGAGCATATCCTTTAACCACCAGTCTTGCACGATACCTCTCCACTTGATCGTCACCATTTCGCTTGATTTTGAAGACCTATTTGTTAACAATTGGCTTCCTTCCTTGTGGTAGTGGCACAAGGTCCCATGTATTATTTTTATGAAGGGCTTCGATTTCTTCTTCCTTGCCATAATCCACAGTGAAGATTCTGAACTGTTTATTACCTCCTGGTATGTTGATGGCTCACTGTCCT